CACTGCAACCTCCGCCTCCTGGGTTCAGGCAATTCTCCTGCCTCAGCCTCCTGAACAGCTGGGATTACAGGCACGCGCCACCATGCCCAGCTACTTTTTTGTATTTTTGGTAGAGACAGGGTTTCACCATGTTGACCAGGATGGTCTCGATCTGTTGACCTCGTGATCCACCCGCCTCGGCCTCCCAAAGTGCTGGGATTACAGGCCTGAGCCACCGCGCCCAGCCGAGGGTGATTTTCTTTTATCGTTTTTCCCCAAAGCATAGTTTCCTGCCTCCTAGTACCTATTCTCTTCTAAAGGTAGCAATTTCTCCCATCTTCAATCCTTGATTCCTCCAGTTTTTGTGCTTTTTTTTTTTTTTCCAAATTCTATGGATTATCTCTTCAAAGTGTCCATAAATGTATCTCCTCCTCACTTTTCTGGAATCCCGCAGACGCCTATCACCTCATGCCTAGATGGCTGCAACGCCCTCCTAATTGGTCTCCTTACCTCTCATCTCTACACATTTTTCTCCATCACCCCCTTCCACTTTGTAGCCTGTGTAGATTATTCTTCCTAGAACGTCACTGCCCACGTCCCATCACTTTTCAACTCCACTTGGAGTTCCAGGACCACAATGAGGTGTCCTGAATAAATACCTGGGCCTTGGAGTCAGGCAGCCTGGAACGGATAGTCTGTGTGTGCCTCAGGTTCCTCTCTGTAAAATGCAGATAATTGTCGGCCCATGAGAGGTTGTGAGAGGGAAATGAGAGGAGGAGTGGGAAGCACCAGTCCAATTCCCAGCTGGGGGACTCTCACAATGGAGACAGCGTCTGACTCTTGGTGAGCAGGATGGTCCATTGCTCTCTTGTCGCAATCCTTTAGAATGTATTTGGTGATGAACTGCCGTGTTAACATTATTTTTCTTATCTATCCAACTAGTTTGACAATTCTTTTAGGAAAGCGGAGGCTTTTCTACGCAGAACGTCAGGGAATTCTGCACATGGCAGGCGTTCTGGACTGCCTTCATGAGTGGGCAAGTTTGGCATGCATCAGAGTGCCTGCCCAGGGCGGCGAGTGGGGCTGAAAGGCGGCCTGCACTCTGCTGTGAGGCCATCACCTGCAGAGCTGTGCCCACAGAGGCAGGGTGGAGGCCCCGGGGTGCTGGACTTAGGTGTTCATGCTCTCCTCTCAAGTTGGAGCTGAAATTTCAACTTGTGAAGACCTCCCTGACACCTCCCTGTGCCCACTCCTCTGCGGTGACACACAAAGTTGTTGATAATCATCGGTCTGTGCGTCTCTTTCCTAGTCAGGCTGTGCTTCCTAAGGACCAGTGCTCTGTGTTCATATAGTTAATTCAGGTACCCGGTACTTAGGAAAACGTTCAATGACAGTTACAGAATGAAAGATGACTTTCAAGGGAAGTTCGAATAAGAGGCAGAAAAAGTACAGCATTAGGACAGAGTTACACATAAAATTTAGAATGGAGTCTTGAAGTGGGAGGAGTGTGGAGGCTAATGATTCCCAGTTACCACTCCGAGTGTAACCACTGAAATCCTAGCTCAATCATAAGGTACAAAAGACCTACAAAGCAGAATCTTCACATCCATGCATGACTACACTTTGTTATAATCTGTTACTTTTTTACTTTTAAAAATACTATTTTATTTATACTCACATATCAAAGATGGTTATACTGTCATGCTTACATCCATACTAATATTGGAAACGGAATTCAGTAACAAATTCCATGTAAACTTTATAAAGCACAGACATTGAAACCCTGACTGGTTATAGAAAGCAGAGTTTGAGGAAAAACCGTTAGCTGTAGTTTTCCTTTTCATTAAAGAGCAGCACCCTCTGAGAAGAATCAAACCGATCAATAATAGTCATCTAGACCGCAAAGTAATAAGCACAAAGGAAAGTTAGTGACTGTACCGATTTTATTACTTTTAGTAAGCCATTTTACGTTCCTCACACTCAATGTGAAGAAACAAAACATAATCTGAAGGAAAATGTGTCATTATTATTCACAATAAGAAGTCTGCTTCCTTCTGCAGGCCTGGGCAGACTGTACATTAAGGAGCACTTAATGGCTCAAGTGGATCAACGTACTAGTTCGATTTTGATCCACAGAATAGAATCTCATCCATATTTGGTGGCTGGACTAACTCCATGGGAGCTCTGACAGATTGAACCATTTTTGTGGTATCCTCAGATCTCACTAAATAAGAAAATGCCCTACACTAGAAAATATAACAATCAATCTGTCCATAAATCATATCTATATGCTCGCTCTTCAGTATAAGTTAGAAAAAGGGGCCCTTTCTTGAGCACAGGAATAAAAGTATTGTGGTCTAAAGGCTGCTGGATTGATATTGTGTTGTTATTATAAAGATAAGTTACACATTGAAACCACTGTCTGATTAAGAAACTTCCACAGCTTGTCTCAATTCTTCAAATAATGGAGCAAGTTTCTTTTCTAGGCTGAAAATTAGTCCTCTATTGGCATTGCTGCGGGCTATGAAACTCACCACCAAATTTAATTGAATCACCGGTAGGTGTAACAGTAACAGCTGATACTTTTATTTTTCGAAAGTCCAAGTTTGCTCCCTTGGTCTCTTGCAAGGGCACAAGCAGGTAAGAAACCAGGTCTCAAAGCATGCTCTGGAGCATTACCATCGGCCACTTTAATAACAAGTCCTCCAACTGTATCTGACACAACAATAGCATGGAGCCCTTCAACACTGGTAACATTTTATACATGAATCCCTTTAAATCATCCGCCAGGATGAACCCCCGGATCAATTTCCATGCCTGGGTTTTCTGGGCTGCCCGGATCTTTTCCCTGTCACTTCAGGGACAGCTTCAGAGACCACAGTCTGGTTTTATGCTGGGTATATGGCAAATGCAAAGAATTGGCCCTCTTTTGGGGAAAGGAAGCTGCCCTTTCTACCACTGTTTTATAGGCTGAGGGAGCTCACGTTAGACCAAGACTTTATAATCTTTCAGTTAACAGATCTCAGTTTTGCCGTGGTGTTGAGGTCCTGAACCAAAATTTCACTGGGTGTTCTACCAAATCACAATCTCTGAGTCTCTCCTCTCATATGATTACCGTAACAGAAAGTTTTGGTGGAGGTTCTATTAAGCAGTGAAACCACAGCCAATCAAGAAATCACTGGGAAGGATACAGCAGAGTCTAGCTTTCCATTAACCAGGGCAGCCAGCTTCTGTCAAATGGAGTGTCAACACTGCACCTTCTGTCCTAGGCCAACCATTTTCTCCTCGGGACTCACCAGATCTTACTGTTCTTGGGTGTAATGGATTAACTTTCTGTACTATCCTTGAGGAATACATGATAGGAATTATATCAGTGACAGACTAATATTTAGGCAGGAAAAAGTAATCACCGTGCAGAAATATCCTGGTATGTAAATGAGAACGTACAGAAAAAAGCAGACTAGACACACTTTAAATCAAAGCCCTGCCAAGAGAATTCCGCGAACTGAAAGAGACTCCATGCCAGAAGCGGGAGCCAGCGCTGCAGAGGTTATAATTTCTTTCTCTGCGTTGTGTCCTCCGCATCGTGCTCATATGCGAGAAGGAAACTGAGATAGCAATTGGGCCATTTCTTTTCTTGATTTAATTTTACAAAACTTGAGCCACAAGGTATCAATTCTGAGGACGTAATTAGTTTACTGGCAATAAAGTCCACATGCAGCATTGTCCTTAAAATATAAGCTGTAGCCCTTACCAGTCCCGCTGTTTGCTGGTGTTTCTCACCCAGCACAATCTCAAACCGAACACCTCGCCGGGAGCAGAAGTATCTGGGACACCGTAGAAAGGCGACTTTGAGGTTAAGGCCTGGTATTTAAGGTTCTGCTACAAATGCTGTTTTAAACAAATCACGGTTCAACTACAACGGTATAACAATGCAAAAACAGCATCTGCTATGAAGAAAGCGCAGTGCTTTGAGAACTAGAAAAGGCACTGAAATTCAAGGCCTTGCTTTACATTTCCGAGCAGTATCTCGGCCCTCTGGAGGTGTGACTTTCCCATACACAGGAGCAAGTTGAAAACCGCCCTGTGGTTTTATTCTCCGTTCACCCCTGTAGCAAATGCGTTTTCTGTGAGGAGCTACGGGGCTGACGGAGAATCAGAGGTGGTTCCTCCTAAGTGGCATTTCTGAGTGGGCTCCAGGAGTCCACAGCGACCTTAAGAGGCTGCTACCTGGGGGGCAGCCAGGGCGTGAGAAGAGACAGTTGTACATTAACATTGCTGTGTGCCCATAACGTTGTATCTTTTATTAGATTAGATAACGTATCTCACATGCTGGCTTGTTAAGCAAATAAATATGCGTAAGGAAATTACAATCCACATAATTATATGAGTCGTTTTAACCACCACTCCCCTCAGAGTGATTAGATTTTCTTGTGCCTATGCCAGTGCGGCCCAATAGCTCTGTCACCGTCAATGCGGATACAATCCCCTTTACTCCGAAAAGCAAATCAGGAACATACAGGGCCAGTGAGAGTCACCATCAGGGCCCGGAAACATGATAGAAACAGCAACTCAGAGGGGTCTCCAGACTGATGGGCGGGTGACCCTGTATTCCTGTTGGGCTTCGGGCTCCAGGTGCTGGTAACAAGTCTCAGAGGCCGGGTGGGACAGAGAGACGCGAGGCGACCCACGCAGGCAGAAGGCTGCCTCATCCCACGCCGGGACCCCCCAGCAGGCCAGGGTCGCCGGCAGGGGCCGAGCCTGGGGTCACGCAGGGGGACGGAGAGGGAAGCCCGGGGCTAGGGGTGGGGCAGAGGCGAGAACGTACTCCCCCCCCACCCCGCCCCCGCGCCGCGAGTTTCCGCGCACGTAGCGGTGGGGCCGGCCTCGCACTCGCCCCCCGCGGGGGCCCGCGCAGCCCCCTCCTCCGCGGCTCCCGGAGCGGCCATCGCGCGCGGCGACGGGCGGGGGCGGGCCGCGAGCAGGGCTCCCTGGCCGCTTTCCAGGTCGGCGCACTAATACGGGCGATGAGGCTTCGCGGCTCCAGTCTGACTGACGCCGGCTGGGGCCGCCGCCGCCGCCGCTGCAGCCGCTGTCTCGGTCCCCGCCGCCGCCGCCGTCCGCCGGGCCCTGCAGGCGCTGGGCGCGCGCAGCCAGGCAGTGAGTGCGCGGGCGGCCGGGGGACCACCGCGGGGGCGGGGTGGGGGCGCCGGACCCGGGTGGGGGAGGGATGAGCGGCACCGCGGGGACAGGTAAGACGTGCCGTCCCCGGCCGCGCGCTGCTTGTGTGCGTGCGTGTGAGCGCGTGGAGTGGAGGGCGAAGTTGTTGGTCCTCGGGCAGCCCGGGAGGCTCCCCCGCGTGTGGCTGGGCGCTCGCCGTCCCGGTGTTTCTCGGGGGAGCCTGTCTCGGGCCGGGTGGGCGCGGGGCCGGAGGGGACCGCTCCGGGGAGTTGGCCGCGGCGCCGGGTGTGTTCCTTGCGCTTGCATCCGCCCGCGTCGCGGGCCCCGGGACCTGTCAGGGGATGCTCGTCCCGCGGGGGGCGGGGGGGGCGGGGGCTGCCGCCGGGGCCGGGACCGGGGCCGGGGCCCGGGGCGTGGGCAGGGCCAGGACAGTCGCCTGAGGAGCCGCTTGCTGTAGCTGGAGAGCGGGGACCGCGGGCAGAGGGGGCGGCGGGGGTCGTCATTGTGACTTTTTTGGGGCCGCTTTTAAACTGGCCAGGGCGGAGTTGGCCTGGCTGGCCTTCTGTTTCGAGGCTTTTCGCTTTGTTTACCTTTGAGGCATGCGAAGTGAGAAAAAAAAAAACTTAGGAATGTTGTTCAAGTGTCTCCGGGCTCGCTCTTGGACTGCGTCGGAACCGGGGTGTTTGTCTTTTCCTTGGCCCACCCCTCGGTGCCAGCTCTCCGCAGAGGGGAGGGGGCGAGGTGGGGCGCAGATACAGGAGACTGCCTGACGCCAGCTTTGTGATCGGAAGGAGGAGAGCGGGGAAAACATTTTTATGGATGGCTAATCGCTGACAAGTCTTCCCGTTACCATTGCTTCCTCCTCCCGCCCTTGACTGTGGACATTTGAAATGATAGTTTGGAAATATTCCGTTGACTTATTTTTTGGGCTGGCGTGGGTACTCCTGAGAACAGACCTACAAATGATACAGATCGGTTTGGGGGTAGAATTGTATGTAAATTCTTTACCCTGTAGTTCACAGTGAGATGCCCACAGGGCACTGTGGAGAGCTTTGGATGGATCCAGTTTGCTAGTAACATTTCGGTGGCTTGCCAGATTTCTCGGATGGATGATTTTTTGGAAATGTAGGTTAGCAAGAAGCATGCAGGCTGACCGTAAAGTCGTGAGGCATTTAATAATGCTGCCTCCTAAGCAGTCACTGAGTGGAACGTTTGTGGCACCCGTCTGGCTAAGTGAAATGTGACTACTACAAGCATAGCTCCTGCCTAAGCATTCCTCCAAGTGCGAGGGAATGCCGTTGGATGTTTACATTTTAAAAATAGTGATCTATATTTAAGAAGGCATTTAAAATAAAAGCCAAAGACATTCTCAACTCCAAATAGAAAAGATTCAATAAATGAATTTTCCTGTGTTTGTAGGAGACCATCAACACAATTTTAGACTGCTTTCAAGTTTGTGGTTATCCAAGAAGGACGCTTCAGATAAGAAAATGATGTGGCTCTTTATAAACAACGAGCATTTTAAATACAAGATGACAGAAATTTCAACTACTGTATCCCAAAAAAACAACTTTTAGTAGTAATAGTCACCTTCATGGATGGCAAGACAACTATCTTTACCAGACAGCCTTCGGCCTCTTAATGTATTCCCACACAACCAACTCCCATTTTTATGCTTGACTGGTTATCTCTTGTCAGAGCTGTTTTATGCTTGAGCTCTGTGGCTTCAGGCTTAAGAGAATGCCGACATACTCTCGATCTGAACAAACTCATTTCTATCAGTGCAGTGTTTACTAAAAATCAAAGATGGAAACAAATTTTGGGTTAAACTAAGTACTTTAGAATTACCACATCATTGTCATCAGTCTTTCAAAGTCAACATGAACTATTTGGCTTTTCTCCTTTTAAAATCTTTTTTTAACTTTTATTTTCGTAGTTAATGAGTAATCAGAAAATACAGATGTCAACTCTTGCATCTCCGATTACCCAAGACGTGGGATGAGAAAGAAGAGTTATGTTTTTTTAAATGAAACAGTACGAAAGCTATCGATAAGTAATAAACAGCTGGCACACTATCTTTACTGACATGTAGTCAGTTGGAGGGAAAAAATTCTGTCCAGAAATTGTTTTATAAAGATGAAAATATTCAATTTCAGTATGAAAATATTCAATCTGTTTTCCAAATAGTTTAATTCTGGCTAATGAGAGTGCAATATGCATTGCCAAGCTTGAGGGACGGTATTTGGAAGTGATCACTACAGCACTAAGGTAACTAGTTTCTACCAGACATTCTCTCTGTAATAAATAAGACAGCAGTTTCATCATGTTCTGCTTTAATATGTGGGAAATAATCCTTATCCACAGGATATACTCTGATTTAAGGGAAGGTAAAGGTTATGAGAAATACGTGGTTTTTCTGATCTGCCAAACATACTATGCTAAATTTTAAAGCTTTATTGAAACTTAGTGCAGACTTAATGTATATTGTTTTGGACACTTAGAGAGGAATTAAAAAATGGGAAACTGTCCAGAATAAAACAGTAAATATAGCAGTACGTTGAATCCATGAATCTTCTCAAATAGTTGTCATTCTAGGCTGTTGCATTTATATTTCCTTGGTTACTGTTGCTAGTGAGTTGAAAAGTTATTCTAAAGCAAAAAAATAAAGTGCAAAAGGTAAATGCATAAGTACTTACAATACTGTGGGCATTTTCACAATGTTTTGTGTTATCCTGGTAAATGTCCATGTCCTGAGTAAGGACATTGAAAAAATAAACAATCGTCCCCTGGTAATAAACTAACCTTTTAAAATAAGTATTCTGGTAAATTATGTCTCTTAAGAAACTTGCCTTGACTAAAGCTGTTAGGATTTCAATATATCTGTTAGCATTAGAAGTCATTATACCCATGAAAAGTGGACGTTCCTCTTGCCTGGTGGTCTTCATCCTGACACTTCCCACCCCAGAACCTCGAGGGACACCTCAGCCGCACTTGTCTGACTCACACTCTGCTCTCCTTTGCTGGTGTTAGGTTGATCCCAGACTACTTACCCAGGCTTATCTTCCTGGTCTTTCCCTATTTTATGCAAGCCTGTAATCCCAGCACTTTGGGAGGCCGAGGCGGGTGGATCACGAGGTCAAGAGATCGAGACCATCCTGGTCAACATGGTGAAACCCTATCTCTACTCAAAATACAAAAAATTAGCTGGGCATGGTGGCATGTGCCTGTAATCCCAGCTACTCAATAAGGTGAGGCAGGAGAATTGCCTGAACCCAGGAGGCGGAGGTTGCTGTGAGCTGAGATCGCGCCATTGCACTCCAGCCTGGGTAACAAGAGCGAAACTCCGTCTCAAAAAAATAAAGCAAAAAAATAGAGAATGCTAGTTTCCATGCATACCCTGCCTTTCCTCCCTTGCACACCTTTACCCACGCTGAGGCCTTCCCAGCTTCCCCACCTCCCATCAGATCCTCGAATGTGACTTCTTCATCTTGTATGCCTTGTTCAGGCGCCGCCTTCGTGGAACTTTCTGTGATGACCCTGGTCCCAGATATGTCCTCCTTCGAGCACCTGTGGCTCTTTGCCTTCTCCACTCTTGTCTTTCTTGTTTTGTATTAAGTTACTTATAGACTAATTTATTTCTTCCCCTCAGACCATCCTTATAAGATCCGGGAAGGAAGGGCTGTGTTTCATCTACCTCTTTTATTCCCTGAATGCTGACCACAGTGCCCTTTATAGTACTCTGTCAATAATGAATACATGACACATTTTTTCACGGAACCCATTGTCCCTTCTGAAATAAAATCTGTAAAAGCATTTCATCCATAGACTAAGTCTTAAAGATCCATCTTTCAAGAAGCCAGTGTTGAATCTGAGCTGAGGACTTGTTAAGAGGCCTGAAATCCCCTCAGCCCAGATGAGACCCTCCTTCTCCTGAATATTGGGGCTGAGCATTAACAATCAGGAAAGCTTCTATGATACTCTTATTGCGTTAGCAATTTTCCATATCAGATTCACTGAATACACAATGGAAGCCATTTAGTAGAAAAACAGATTTTAACGTGATATGGCTACCACAATGAAACTCTAATGTGATTCCACAGAAAATTGCTAACACGATATGCTGATTCTTCCCCCACCACCATGGCCACATAAAAATTGATACTGTTTTTAGTGTATGTGTTTCAAACTATGCTCACAAAAGAAAAGCAGACTGCTATTGAGATGAGCTGCTGCTTTGTTCACGTTGGATGTATAAAAGGTCTTGTTAGCAGCCTTGTCAGAGAGCTGAATCTCCCTTCTGTGCCTTGGTCATTCTGTTGTTGAATGGTACTAACCCCCATTTTTAAATACACCATGTTCTGTTTAATGATCCAGTATTAAAGTTAATATGATGTGAAGAAATAGAATTTGCTTACAAATATCATGCCTGTGTAATATATTAGATTGTGCCGTTTTAATTGGGAAGCTCCAATCAACTCAAACCCCATTTTTCAAGAATCAAAATGACTGCAATATAAAATTTTCATTCAGAATTTAAAACCAAATGCATACATTTTAAGAAATGGATTATAGATGTGTGTGCACAAGGCTGTAACACTTTAGAATTCATAAGCACTGAGGAGATTTTGGTTCTTCCCCCTCATTCCCCAGACAATATTTAATTCAAAGAATGTTTAACCCAAAGAATAATTGTAAAGGAGACCTATGGAGTCTGATTTTTTCCTGTAATGACAATTTCCAGTTCTTCTTTTTTAGATATGAAATATCAAGATTTTCTCTCTCTGTCTCGTTCTTTGGTATTCTGATTAGCTGATGCCACTGGTGGGGATTATTTTTATGTGAAATTCCCTTTGGGGAAATTTAATACTTAATATATGATCACTTCCATTTCTTTTTCATATTTAATTCTAAGGGACTATAAATAGAAAATGTGTACTCAATCCTGAGGAGAGTTTAGTGCTGCAGTTGTGAAAAGCAGC